TGCTTAGAATGGCCATCATTTCCCTGCTTAGAATGACCATCATTTCCCTGCTTAGGATGGCCATCATTTCTCTGCATAGGATGACCATCATTTCCCTGTTTAGGATGCCATCATTTCCCTGCTTAGAATGGCCATCATTTCCCTGCTTACTAGGAAGACCATCAATTCCCTGCGTATGATGGCCATCATTTCCCTGATTAGAATGACCATCATTTCCCTGCTTAGAATGGCCATCATTTCCCTGCTTAGAATGACCATCATTTCCCTGCTTAGAATGACCATCATTTCCCTGCTTAGGATGGCCATCATTTTTCTGCCTAGGATGACCATCATTTTCCTGTTTAGGATGCCATCATTTCCCTGTTTAGAATGGCCATCATTTCCCTGTGTACGATGGCCATCATTTCTCTGCATAGGATGGCCATCATTTGCCTGCTTAGGATGCCATCATCTCTTTGCATAGGATGGCCATCATTTCCCTTTGTAAGATGGCCATCATTTCTCTGCATAGGATGGCCATCATTTCCCTGCTTAGGATGCCATCATTTCTCTGCTTAGGATGGCCATCATTTCCCTGCTTAGGATGACCATCAATTCCCTTCTTAGGATGGCCATCATTTTCCTGCTTAGGATGGCCATCATTTCCCTGCTTAGGATAGCCATCATTTCCCTGCTTAGGATGGTCATCATTTCCCTGCTTAGGATGGCTATCATTTCCCTGCTTAGAATGGCCATCATTTCCCTTCTTAGGATGACCATCATTTCCCTGCTTAAGATGGCCACCATTTCCTTGCTTGGGATGGCCATCATTTTCCTTCTTAGGATGGCCACCATTTCCCTGCTTAGGATGGCCACATTTCCCTGCTTAGGATGGCCATCATTTCCCTGCTTAGAATGGCCATCACTTCCCTTCTTAGAATGGCCATCATTTCCCTTCTTAGGATGGCCATCATTTCCCTTCTTAGGATGGCCATCATTTTCCTTCTTTGGATGGCCATCATTTCCCTGCTTAGGATGGCCATCATTTCCCTGCTTAGAATGGCCATCATTTCCCTTCTTAGAATGGCCATCATTTCTCTTCTTAGGATGGCCATCATTTTCCTTCTTAGGATGGCCATCATTTCCCTGCTTAGAATGGCCATCATTTCCCTGCTTAGGATGGCCACCATTTCCCTTCTTAGGATGGCCATCATTTCCCTTCTTAGAATGGCCATCATTTCCCTGCTTAGGATGGCCATCATTTCCTTGCTTGAGATGGCCATCATTTCCCTTCTTAGGATGGCCATCATTTCCCTGCTTAGGATGGCCATCATTTCCCTGCTTAGGATGACCATCATTTCTTTGCTTGAGATGGCCATCATTTCCCTTCTCAGGATGGCCATCATTTCCCTGCTTAGGATGGCCATCATTTCCTTGCTTGAGATGGCCATCATTTCCCTTCTTAGGATGGCCATCATTTCCCTGCTTAGGATGACCATCATTTCCTTGCTTAAGATGGCCATCATTTCCCTTCTCAGGATGGCCATCATTTCCCTGCTTAGGATGGCCATCATTTCCTTGCTTGAGATGGCCATCATTTCCCTTCTCAGGATGGCCATCATTTCCCTGCTTAGGATGGCCACCATTTTCCTTCTCAGGATGGCCATCATTTCCCTGCTTAGAATGGCCATCATTTCCCTTCTTAGAATGGCCATCATTTCCCTGCTTAGGATGGCCACCATTTCCCTTCTTAGGATGGCCATCTTTTCCCTTTTTAGAATGGCCATCATTTTTC